CGGCCCCGGGCTCCCGGAGGGCCGGCCCGGCTCGGGGAGACCGCGCCCGCCTGGGAAGGTCGTCCCCGCTCCCCACTGCCTTTCCCAGCCCCAGCGCCTGCAGGCTTCCGCCCAGATCAGCCGCCTCATTGAAACGCCCCTACTAATAACTACTAATGCGCCTGCTAGCGACAAGGATTACTTTCATGATCAGGAAATGTTACTAGGTATTGGGAGCACCCGCGGAGGTCCAGCACTTCTGCATACCTGCTTTCAGCCCTGAAAGCCAGCTGTTAGGCAGCTTCTCTAAAACCCACCCCAGGCCCCTTAACGTCAGTTCCCAAGCCTCGCTGTGGGGACGGCAGCTGCGCCCAGGGGACAGTGGCATCTGGGAGAGGACCAATCCAGGGCTCCACACTGCCGGGCTGCGGGGCCCCGTGGATGGCTGGCTGGATGGGTGCAGGAGCACTGGACACTGATCTCCGTGGGCTCTCCTACTCCAGCCTGACCTCACCTGCCTCCCTGCTCGCAGGCTGCTGTCAGACTGGCCTCTTGCCAAAGGCTTTTCTCAGGGAGACCCCAGGCCCTGATGCACAAACCCAAAGCCCCCTGAGGGCTCTACTCCCGCCCCCCGCCCCCCAGCTCAGCTCTCTCCATGCTCACAGCTGAGAGGCAACAGCCGGGAAGAGCCATCCCCTCTTCCAGCTCCTGAACTGGCGGCCTTGCCATGCGCTTTGAAACGGGGAGGGGGGGAGGAGGGGGCTCAGTGCCGACCCTCCCCGCTGACACCCTCCCCCTACCGGCCCTTGCTCTAAAGTAGGCATCAGCAGACTTCTGCAGAGAGCATGGAAGTGGTTACTTTCCTATTGCTACTGCAGCACATTTAGTGGCTTAAAAACAATTTTATTCTCTGGGGTCACTGGCTGGAAGCTCTAAGGGGAGCCTGTTCCCTTGAAAAGCCTCTAGAGCCTGCCGGCTTGCCTTGGCCCTTGGCCCCTTCCTCCTCCAGAGCTCAGCACTCCAGCCTCGGCTGCTGGCCTAACAGCCCCTCTGGCTGGAATGGAGCCCAGAGAAAGAACAGAGACTCGCACCGTGCTCACAGCAGCAAAGGGCGGAACAGCTTGTGAGCACCTGACGGAGGCCCACGGTGAGGAGGCATCACGGACTGACTCACCCGAGTCGGGTAAGGGGTGGGCACCGTCACTGCCCAGCTATGGGAACCCAGATCAGTAGGTGCCTCTACCAGACCCAAAGGTGGAAGACAAAGATATGGAGATTGAGGCCATTGTGGGATCTCCTGTCCCTTTCAGACTCTATTCAGAGTCAAGGGACCCAGGCTCCAGGAGGGAGCCCCTCCCAGAGAGCTGATGCTCTGTGAGTGCAGACCCTGCCCGCTGGCCGGAGCCCTGGCCACAGCCCTGCCCGCCGCTGCCTGTGCCTGCAGCGCTTCTCCCGCCGCCCTCTCCCTCCGCAGGGCAGCAGCCCCCTGCCTGCCTGTGACCTGCACCTGCCAGGCATCTCTGCACCCATCCCCACAGGGGGCCGCTCTCCTCAGGCCGCCCGCCTGCGACCACGCAGGCCCCTCAGCAAGCCCATCCCTCCGGCCAGCTCCTGCTTGTGCCTGTGCACGCGTCCAGCGCTCCTGTCCTTTCCCCTAGTAAACCTGCTCTTTAAACATGACAGAGCCGCTGTCTCGTGGGGGCTCACCGCGTGCCGCTGAAAGGGGAGCTCTGGGGACACCTTTCCTGGGTGACCCCAAGGGCCACATGCTAACTCCAAAAATGACATCACATAGTGGTTGGGGGATGGAAGAGTCCTTGCTTATGCCTGTGGGGTTTCTGCTGGGGTAACAATGGCAGGTTTTCCAAATGGGGGGGGGTTGCACAATGATATCATTAGTGCCGCTGAATCAGGCCCCTCCCTGGTAGCCAGCGGGTTAAAACGCAGCACTACGAAGCTAAAGCCACGCAGCACAAGTTCGATCCCCGTCCAAGGAGTGACCCCCCGTGGCGCGGCAGACCTCTCCTGGCCCACCCGCTGCTCCCTCAGCAGTGGACTTCATCAGTCGGCCTGTTCTGCTCCCCGCTATGCCTCTGGTGAAGCCTCTCAGCCCCGCACCTCTGGCCTGTACCCCTGTTCTGTGTGCATAAATAAATCTTTTTTTTTTTTTAATGCTGCTGAGTTGGACACTGTCAAATGGTAGGAATGGTAGAAAGTTTTATGTTGTATATTTTTACCACAATAAAAAAGGAACCATTGGCAGTGGCCTAGACTGGGCTACCGTGTGGCCGTCAGACCCACCCACGCCTTCCTTGCCTGTAGCTTCTCCCTTCTCCATGTCCACCTGGGATCTCACTGCCCTCAAGGGCCACCCACTTGCCCGTCTCCCTTGCCAGTCACACCCCTTGCCGGCCCCTGTCTCCCCTACCCCAGAGCAGAGCTGGGGTGGGGGAAGGAAGTCCCATCACCTCGCGCCTGATCTTATTTTCCGCGCCTGATCTTATTTTCCAAATGCCACACCAGGATCCTCACAAGCCGGCTCTTGGGGTGGCTGGTGATGTCTGCATTGCCCTCTCCCGCTCACCTTCTCAGCAAGGTCGCCCGCTCCCCCCTGCCCCGCCCCCAATGGTGACCCCACGCCAGCTTCTCCCAGGAAATAACGCAATCAAGAGAGAAACCCCCAGGTAGCCCGCAGCCCTCTGCCTGTCCCTGTGTGCCGCCAGCTGGCCCATCTTGCATGCACACCCCAGATTATCCGTCTGGGACTCCCGACCCTCCCCTCCACCCCCACGCATGTTGTCAGTGGTGTCTCTCCAGCAGCCACCCCCTGGCCCACAGCCCCCGCTGGGGCGTCCCCATCCCCAGGAGCCAGCTGTCCCGTCCGTCCCTGGTCCCTTCCTGTCATCAGTCTTCCTGCCGCCCGCAGGCCAGAGGCCTGACACTGAGGCAGTGGTGGCCTCCGGGGACCTGGCGGTCCAGTCTCCCGATTCTTTCCTGCTCGGCACCCGGGGCACCCCGGCCTGGCAGCCTTGGGCCTGTCTCTGCTCCACACACACCCTGCCTTTGGGCAGAGCGCTGCAGTGAGGTTCAGAATCCAGGCTCACTGCTGGCCCCGCTGTAGGGTGACCCCAGGTGAGTCTTCTCCACTGACTCGGCTTCCTGGCCCGCCAGACAAGGCCGGATGGGCGGCGCCTTGCTTGTGGCCGACCGGAGGGTGGGCGACCCCGGCCTGCCCTGCGGGGCTGCTGCTGTCAGGCAGGAGCCCCGCTGCCCGGCAGCCATGGCCACAGGCGCCCGGCGGCCCAGGGGAGGGGCAGGGTTGAGGGCGTGCAGGGCAGCGCAGGGGCAGTCTCCCTTTCTTGCTGAACTCTGCAGGTGTGTTGGAAGCTTCTTGGCTTTGAACCTGGTGCTGGCCTGCCTCACCTGGGTGCTGGGTGATGTGAAACTTCTTGCCCTTATAAAGGGGGTTCCGTGCGGAGAGATTGTGCCCCGAGGATCTGTGTTAGCAATGCACCTCATCACCTGCTGAACTGCAGCTGAACGGAGGCTGGAAACCCCATTCAGACACCGCTCGGGCTCGGCTGGGGAAGGGAGGTGCGGCAGGATGGCCGGGACACCTCAGCGCACCATGCGCTCAGCTTCCCTTCCCTTCGCTCACTCCCCTCCTCCAGCCCCAAATTCCAGGTGGGAGGAGTGTCATCGCCAGGTCTTAGTGATGAATGGCTCCCCAAAGGGAGTGTTCCCCAGCCGCGGAGCATTACTCGGCCAGGAGAAAGAAAAGTGCTGGTGCCTGCTGCATGTGGCTGCGG